TACGTTTACCTTTTGGAGCCAACGACTCGTTAATTTCTTCCATGTGTAATTTAAGAAAATTAAATAACTTTCCTCTATTAGCAAAATAATTTTTTTTTTCCTCTTTATCGTCGTTAATTTGGATTACTTTTTGTTCTTACCATTACATCATAAGCTAAATGACGAAGATACTAAATTTTGTCAAACTAATGAATCCGGAGAACAAATCAACTAATTCAATAGTATTACATTTGATTTAATTTTCCATATCTTCATCAAATTTCTATTAACGAATTTCGGAGCCCGTAAATTCAATAATTATATAGGTCGGATCGGAAGATATGATTGTACGTACATATGTATCTCAAATCTCAACCGTACGATTATAACTGCACAAATGCCTCCTAAGATCGACGGTGTATAAATTGCGTGTCAGTACGAAAACCCTCCGAGACGTTAACAAAACAAAAAACCTCTTATCTCTCTAAAAAAATCAGAGAAAGCCACATCAATGGCTGCTCCGACGATAAGAACCGTCGCGAGTTTCAATAATCACCAAGAACACTCCATCGATTTCTTTGGAAACGAGTTGATCGTCACCGTAACCTCTTCCCCCTCCGTCATCAGCCGCTGGATGACCGTCGTTCGTACTCTTCTCACCCTCTCGTCGTTGGAGTTGGGGTTCAGTGGGCACCGGCAGGTTTTCACTCTAATCCTCCACAAAACAGCTATTACTCCGATCAACAATCTGGGAGCTACGACGACGATCCTCCACCAGATTGTTACTACGGAGTTCCTTCACCAGGTTACTACTACGCCGATCATCCACCGTGTAGCTACGTCGATCCTCCACCGGACACTCTCCAGTTATGCGTTGGTAAACGATGTCTGATAATCCAGCTATCTCACTGTAACCGTATCCCCGAAGACCTCCGTAGTTTTCTCGCGGATCCACAAACTACTTTCGTCGGCGTTTGGAATAGCCAAGACGCGAGAAAGTTAGCTCAATCTAGACACAGACTGGTGATTGCGGAAATTCTGGACATAAGGAACTATGTTACAGATTCGGAAGGTAGAAGCTTGAGTGCTTGTTCGTTTGAGACGATTGTTGAAGAATGTATGGGTTATCAAGGAGTGAGGCTAGATCCGGAGATAAGCATGAGTGATTGGAGCGTTTACAATCTTTGCGATGAACAGATTCTTCAGGCGTCACTAGATGCTTATGTTTGCTTTGAGCTTGGTGTTTGGGCTCGTTTATGGGAAGCTTGAGAAAATCTATCAAATGATTGTAATCAAAACTTGAATCTTTCTTCTGTTAGGGTTTATGAGGATACAAAGATGTTTTTCACTTGTTAATTCCATGATTACTATGAGAGGTTTGATTACAAATCTAATGAAAACATTTATCCAAAAATGTAATTTCGATCAAGGGCAAAAGAGTAATTTAGTTTCTAAAGACGCGTATAAGCAAAAATCTCTTTCCCTTTGTCGTCGTCTTCTTCTTATTCTTCAATTTGGACTTTCACCGTTAAACTCCGATGGTTCCTTCGCCGACGAATCCGCAGCAGATTCAGCAATTTCTCTCCTCTGTGCTCTCGCAGCGCGGCCCATCCTCTGTTCCTTACGACGAACCCACCAAGTGGTTGATCCGGACACATCTCATAAACCTAATCTCGTCTTACCCTTCATTAGAGCCCAAAACCGCGACGTTTATGCACAACGATGGTCGCTCCGTCAATCTCCTACAAGCAGATGGTACGATCCCGATGCCTTTTCATGGAGTAACCTACAACATCCCTGTAATCATCTGGCTCCTCGAGTCTTACCCTCGTCATCCTCCTTGCGTCTATGTCAATCCCACCGCCGATATGATCATCAAGCGACCTCACGCACATGTCACTCCTTCTGGTCTCGTTTCTCTCCCGTATCTCCAGAATTGGGTTTATCCTAGCTCCAATCTCGTAGATCTCGTCTCTGAACTCAGCGCCGCATTCGCTAGCGATCCGCCTCTCTACTCCCGTCGCCGCCCTCAACCACCGCCTTCACCGACTCCGCCTCGGTACGATTCGTCACTGACACGGCCTCCTCCGTCTGATCAGTCATTATCGAGACCGTTCCCGCCATCTCCTTACGGCGGAGGAGGCAGGGTCCAGGTGCAGCACGTTCATCACCAGCAGCAATCAGATGATGCGGCGGAGGTTTTCAAGAAGAACGCGATCAATAAGATGGTTGAGATGGTTCATGGTGATCTGGTTTCGATGAGGAGAGCCAGAGAAGCTGAAGCAGAAGAGCTACTGAGCTTGCAAGCAGGGCTAAAGAGAAGAGAGGAAGATATCAACAGGGGATTGAAGGAGATGGTTGAGGAGAAAGAAACACTTGAACAGCAATTACAGGTTATCTCCATGAACACTGATATTCTAGACTCTTGGGTTAGAGAGAATCAAGGCAAAACCAAGAATTTAGTTGATTTGGATGTGGATAATGCCTTTGAATGTGTTGATACACTCTCCAAGCAGATGTTAGACTGTACTGCTTTGGATTTAGCTATTGAAGATGCTATTTATTCGTTGGATAAGTCGTTTCAAGACGGAGTTGTTCCCTTTGATCAGTACTTGAGGAATGTGAGGTTGTTGTCGAGGGAACAGTTCTTCCACCGAGCCACGGGTTCTAAAGTTAGAGCGGCACAGATGGAAGCTCAGGTTGCAGCGATCGCAGGTAGGTTACATTCGTGAATGCTGTGTCACACAATGCTGGTTATTTATATAGTGAGAGATTAGCGTCTTTGAGGAGAAGTATGTGGCTTATAGTGTGATGGTTACTCGCTAAATATTGAATGAAAATGTCTATAGACCATATATATACTTCTACACAGCTGTGCACATACAGATTTGAATGGATCAGGCTTTTTCTGCTTTGTTCAGTTTGTGATAGGGGAATCATCTCCTTTTTGTGATCTATGACTACTTTTTGTTTTTGGGATCTTTGTGATGAACATTATTATCTGATGAATCAATTCGTTTTGAGAATGTTTAAGTGTCTATTTTGGAAACTGGAACACTTTGCTCTCCTTTTCATCTCCTTAAGAAATTGGTGCTTGTGTTCATTCATCTTACTGAAGGAAACTAAACAGACATACGAATCCTTAACCCATTAGCTTCTCCATTAATATTGTCTGGAACTGCAACATCACTAAACCTGATTTTCTTCATCATTTTGGGTGCAAAAGAGTAATCTTCTTCAATGTTTGTTGTACCTTTGATTCTTTTATTGTCTTGGGTAAAATGAATGACGTCCTTGCAACTCCTTAGCCTCTTTCCCTGAGGAGTTAGGTAACAAACATTGGATTTACCACAGCTTTCTCTGAGAACCAATATACTCTTCAGTACTTTTGCGTTCGTCGAAAGAAAATGACAAATTCGGAGATATCTTACTTCACGGATGGTTTTGTCAGAAAACTCAAAATTATAATCCCAAACACTTGGTACTGAATATGAAATCAAACTGAAAATCAATAACTTATGAGGTTTATACTGATACAACACTGAAAATCACTTCAAGAAAACATTGAAACCAAAAATTCTCGAAATCTTTTTGAAAATCTCTGGCACATAACGCAGGTTAAAACCACATCTAAGTAGAAAAGATTTTGGTTTAGGTGGTAAGCTCCATGATAGCAGAGACAATATCTCCATTAGCAGCCTTGAGAGACTTCACGGCCCTTGGTCTAGACACTCCTGCTTGTGTCATCACCAACTCAATGTCCTTTGGCTCAACACCTTCCTCGTCGACCTCCTCATCGTCTTGAACCACTGCAGCACTCGATGACTCACCCTGTGAAATCACACTGCTGAGATCCGGAGCCTTGAATTGCTCTGCCGCCTGCGACTGGATCTGAGAGCTCAAGTCCTCGATCTTTGCCTCTCCAAAGATCACATATGTGTCTGATGCGGGGCTCTTGAACACATCAGGTTTTGATATGACAAACAAGATCTGCAGTTCAAAGTAATGTCCACACAATTTATTAATACATTTGAATGTGTTTATAAAAGAATGACTGTTAAAAAGTAAACACCTACATTCTTGCTCTTTTTGACTGTGACACGGCTGACACCAGTGATGGGTTTCATCCCGAGCTTGAGCATCGCTTTGCGACTCTTCTTCTCGCTTCTGCTTTGTTTTGACCTACTTCCTCCCTCTCCATCATGTCCTGTTTCACCAATCACAACTCAACAATGACTCAACTAGAACGAAATATTATTAACAGTATAGTTCAGCAACAAGAATAATCTTTTCAACCACCCACAAGCCACACGAATATTATTCATTCTACAAAATAGATTCATTTCAAACATAGTTTCAAGCACCAACCAATCTATTCAAAATGTAAAGTAGAATCCGGACAAAGTACTAGGATCCGTAACATGCAGTATTTTGATAAAGGAAATGAACAAAGCTCTAATGAAAGAAGC